ATAACTAAACCACTAGCCTCATCTTATTTATTACCAGTTTTCATATACTTTTCTTTATTATTAGTTTTGCAAAAAAAATGCTCTCTCACCAGATCCATAGAACTATACCATAACCTGAACATAAAATTATTCCATCAACACAAAGAAAAACCCAAATATAAATAAGACCAGGCAACTGTGAACTGTTCATTATTTACAGATATTTTCATCATAGAAATAAAATTGTAATTTATGTTTTTGATCTCCCATAGTCTGCTTTCCTTTACTCCCAATATCCCGGATTGGGTTTCTCATTACACAGCCATTCTATATCTTCTAAAGGTTTATGATATATTTCAGGATCCTCTATTTCAATATTGCTTCATTACATTTCTGAATTTTGATTTAATGTACACCAACACTTCATTTCTCCTCTTTCTAATACCACTTCATGCTTGAATCTTTAGGTCTCCAGTATCTGCCCCATTTGCTTTCATTTTATGTACATTTTACTATGATGTCTCCCTTAATTTCTCAGACAGTAAGGGCCCATTCCTAGTCTCTTAGCTTCTACAAATTAAATTAAACACACAATACCAAATGTTCAATTCTGGGTCTATATATGACTGAGGACCTGAAGAATTGTCTTTGTGACCCGGGTTGCCGCAGTATGAGTATTTTTCCACTTCCATCCACTTATCGATAGACTTCATAATGAGTGTTTTACCACCGAATAAAACCTGATTCTCTTTATGTCTCACATTATCATTATCCCTTTGTTCATTGTTGGAAATCTAGGATGATTCCATTCTTTTTCTGCTGTGAATTGAGCATCACTAAACATGAATGTGCAAGTTTCTCTCTAATGGGATGTAAAGTCATGTGAGTACACTCTTGGGAGTGTTAGAGTTGATACACAGCACAGTTCCATTCGATTTTGGAGAAATCTCCAAACTGGTCTCCAAAGTCACTATAAGGTAGTTTATACTTACTTCAACCTGCCAGAAAGTACTCCACTTTTTTGCTGTCCGTGCATGCTTTTGTTTTCATTTTTTTTTATAGTCTTTTCACCTCAAGTAAGTTTTTAATTCTGCTTCACTGTTACCTAAGGACTTTAGTTACAGACTTTTAACCACTCATCGTGAGGTAAAATTAAACATTATCTTTTTGATCTTCATTTTACTGTTCGCTAAGGACTTTTGCTGCAGGCCATGAAGAATCATCATTGAACTTAACATAAAATTCTCCCTGCTGGCTAGGTTTCCTGCTACAGGAAGGTTCTGGGCAGCCTTCCGGGAAAGGAAAGGCCCCAGGGATCTTTCACAGTGCCTGAAATTTGATTCTGCCTTCTGTGTACCCAGCAGTGCCTGGCTGTTACATACTGACCAACTGCTTTCTATGTGCATATGCTGCCTATTCCATAGGAAGTACTTCATCCCGGGTAAACTTATTCAGAATCTCATGGTAAAGATGACGTAAGCCTTGCAGACTTTAATCATATTGCTAATGGTGTGTGGTGTGTAATGAGTCACGAGTGGTCAAAGTTCTGAGAACAGTTGACAGAGTACTCAGCCTCAGATGTGATTTTATGTAATCTTCCCCACAACACCCAGCACCATCTCAAAGAGGGACTGGAGAGAATGTATAACACAGAATGTGGGCTGGATAGACATGGAACGCTGTCTGAGGAGCTGGCATGGCCATTGTGCACAGGAACTCACAGAAGATGCAGTTACCTGAACAGGACCTGAGCAAATCAAGCCATTCAAAGTCACAGCATGGAAGCCTGTGAATTAGTTGAGCAGGTAAATGTATCTACTAGCAAGCTTTAGCATTTATATTTGATCCTTGGATCCACAGGGTAGAAGGAGAGACCTGAACTTCACAAGTTGTCCTCTGAGGCTGACATTTCCCCCTTGGTGCACGCATGTCCAACTCCCACTGCTAACAACATGTAACAATACAACTTAGAGAAATATATCACAACTAGGATTGGGAGAAGCTCTTGAGGGCCCACACCAAGCTTAAGGTCTATTGGCATTTGGTGACCTGTAATAAAGATATAATCCTTTTACTTTGGAAGATTTCTGTAGGTTCCCTGTGTGCTAGTGATTCCCAACATGTACATAGACAACACTGACTGGACTACTATGCTACTACTTAATGAAACAAAAGAGGTCAGGACGTCTCAAGAGGAGCTAAAGGGGGATAGTGAAGAGTTAAGATAGTAATATATCTCATACATAGATACAACTTTGAAAATCAAACAAAATCACTATGAGAAAAGAAAATAACTCCTTTTACATGTTTTGAATTTTCATTACTGTGTATATTGTACTCTGTGCATGTTTCCTCTACAATCCCTATCCTTCTTTTTCTTGCCACTCATATTTTCCCTTTATTCTGCTACACAATTTCATTTTATTTCATTATATATTTGCATACATATATGTACAACCGGGGAAGATCTAAGAAGTACTAATGAGAGACTCATAAATCTGTGTTTCTACTAGGATCTTAATTAATAAAGTTATTTCCAGTTTTATAGATTTTGTAAGAGTGATGTAATTTCCTTTCTGATAGCTTGTTTCTGCTGTATTTTATATAATCATGTCTTCTTGATGAAATTACCTTTTGACAGACATGAAGTTTATTGTCATAATTCAGTTTGTAGAATTATGTAGAATAATTGTAGAGAGTGCTGAAGTAAATATTGATGTGCGTTTCCCCCCTTTTGGTCGTTCTTTGTATTGAACCTGCTGGAAGGGTCAATCTTTATAGCATGTATCTGAAAGGTTGGAAATCCCCACAAGCTGGGAGTTTGTAGAAATTTCTAGACATTATCATCATCAACATAGCCAACAACAATGTATCAGTCCAATAATACTGTCACAAGTGGAGCAACTGCCTCAGGCGGAGGAATCTGTTGAGAGCTGAGGCCCTGATGTGCATCCACAGCATCTGCACAGGGCTCAGGGAAGGGGTGTGGGATGCATTTCCTCAGAGAGGATTAGGACTTGGACCTCAGCATCCTGCTGCCAGTCACAGGTGTCCTGTATCGCCTTCTTCTCCAGTTTGACTCAGTCCTTATACAAGCAATATCATGCTCATGAATATGCAAATTTCTATGGTTGCAAATACAGGGCAGACCCCACCCTATAACAACTTGTACTCAGTGTCCTCCCCACAGTCAGTGAACACTCTGGCCTTCACCATGGGATGGAGCTGGATCCTCTTCCTGGTGGCAGCATCTACAGGTAAGGGGCTCCCCAGTTCCAACCCTGAGGTGCAGACAGGGACTGAGATGACAATGCCATCCACTCTGCCTTTCTCTCCACAGGTGTCCACTCCCAGGTCCAGCTGCAGCAGTCTGGGGCTGTGGTGGGGAGACCTGGGTCCTCAGTGAAGCTGTCCTGCAAGGCTTCTGGATACACTTTTACTGATTACTATATGCACTGGGTGAAGCAGAGGCCTGGACAGGGGCTGGAGTGGATTGGAAGGATTGATCCTGAAAATGGTGATACTGACTATAACCAGAAGTTCCAGGACAAGGCCAAACTGACTGCGGACACATCCTCCAGCACAGCCTACATGGAGCTCCGCAGCCTGACAGCTGAGGACTCTGCGGTCTATTACTGTGCGAGACACAGTGTTGCAACCACATCCTGAGTGTGTCACAAAACCTGAAGGAGCAGGAAGCTGCCTGGGAACTGAGAACACAGAGAAGATGAGTCTAAAGTTTTGCTGAGAAACTGTCATTCTGAGTGTCTCTTTGTCTGCCTCCTCCTCAGAGACCTATAGTACCTTTGTCAGCTTTCCAGGGGACCACTTGGAATAAAGCGATGCTGATTTAGGATCGCCTACAATACAACACACATTCACTAGTTTTTGTTTCTTCCTTTGTTTGTTTTGCTTCGTTTTGTTCTTGAAGACAGGGTTTCCTTGTGTAGCCTTTGCTGTCCTGAACTTGCTTTGTAGACCACCCTGGCTTCAAACTCACAGAGATCAGTCTGCATTGCCTCCCAGAGTGCTGGGATTACAGAAATGCACCACTGTGCCTGGTTCCTTGACTAGTTCTTTGCCAGGGACTACATCCATTAATATCTTTCTTCTTTTATAAAAAAATAAATAAAAGGGAAATCTCTGATGTGGCATTATGAAAAATATCTCTGAATTCTTAGAGACTGGAACTTTTGCTAGATAGCAGGAAATAAACTATCATATGAATGTGAAAAGTAAAAGCCAAATCGAAAACATGTGGGCAAACAAAAACTCCTTTCATATTCTTACACCTTAAGTGACATCAAAGTGTGATGTTAAATTTGGATGTGTTCCAAAAGAAGTTCCAGTCTCTTAGAATGTAAGACTTTTTTTTAATTTTAATGTACTGATGCCTAAGTTTAATTCCTGTAAGCTAGTCAAAGTACGACCATATTACTTTTCACAGAACTAGTTTATGGACTCAATGTATGTACATGAGTATTGAGGAAGGTTCTGAGATTATGTATGTATCTCTGGTTCCATATTTCCTTCCTTCTGAGTCTCAGTACCATGCCCTACAGTCTCAAGCCTTTACAGAACATGGACTTACACTGATACAACTTCAACTCTCTTAGTCCATTGGATTCTGCGTGGTCACTCTTTCTCTGTAGAGGATTTGGTTTCATATCAGTTGGTGAATAAACAACCAGCATGGATACCTGTGCTAGTTGGTAATCTCAAAGGACTGATTCAGCAAAAAATTCTCTTTCGCTCAGAGCATTAATATTACATATTCTCTATCAGAAATGCCCTCCTTGTGGAAATGAATATCACGTGCTTCATATAGATGCAAGCATAGAAGGAATGCATTTTGGCAGGCATGAATACCCTCAGACAATTCTGTGTTGGAGACTTGACAAGACTTCTTTTAACTTAAAATTCATCTTGAAATACTAGTGACTTCATAAAGCCCCTGCTGTCTCCTCCAACTGGAAAGAAGGCATTCATCAGAAGGCAGGGGAATCTTCCACTTCGGTACTATGAAGAGATTGGGACACTCTGTTGAAATGGAATGGTATCTGTCAAAAGGCTGTAAGACCTCGATTCAAGGACTTGTCTGATCCCTGCTGCAGATGTAATTTTGATGTGTCCAGATACATTACACTACATTGAGGAGAGATTTCCAAACAGGGTTCTGAACGTCAGACCAGGGAATCCCAAACACAAAGAAAAGTGGCTAATTTTTTTTTCCTTTCAAATCTTAGATTATTCCTTTCCTCATGTACAGAAGAAACAAATAATTTATTTTTCTCTGATATGAAGGCTTTGGAGCAAACTTGTTATAGTCTCCACTCATAGATGCCTTATATTTCCCCAAATTATATGTTAAATACTTCATGGTAAAGATTCAAGGTAGAAATTATAATTTGAAATTTCTGTGTACCTTTAGGGAATAACATAATCTCACCGTGAGTAATAAAATCTATCTCTTATTAAATCTCTTCTTTGGGAGAATATGGTTTTCAGTGGTATTATGCCTTATAAGGTTGCAATGGCTATATTACATGGCATAACATAAGTAAACTACATCTTGAATTAACTAGAATCTCATGAAGCAAGGAAATTCTTTGTGGGATTTTATTGGTTGCATCCTTGGACGTGGGAATGGTTATTCTCCATCTAGGCCACACCATTCGGATGCTTCTTATCCTCTGGATGTTGCCTTCACAAAAGACATGGATGCAGGAAATTTGGCTTTAGCATGCATGCACTCATTTTTTTTTTCAATTTACATTCCAATTGTAGCCCCCTCCATCCACTCCTACAGGTCCCACTCTCCTCTCTTTCCAGTACTTCTCTTTTCCTCCCCACTAGAAAAGCACCCCCTCCCAGCCCCTACCCATCCCAGCAAGTCAAGTCCTATCAGGATTGAGCACATCCTCTACCACACTGGCCTGACAAAGGCATCCCTACCATGGGCAAGTGACAGAAAAGCATGCAAGAGACTAGTTTCCAAGACAGCCCGTGCTCCCCTTATGAAGGAACCCACATGAATACCAAGCTGTTCACAGTTTAAATATGTATAGGGGGCTAGTCCAGTCCATACATGGTCCTCGGTTGGTGTTTCAGTCTCTGCAGGCCACCTCTGGGCCCTGGTTGGCTATGTTGGTCTTCCTGTGGAGCTCCTGTTCCCTCCAGGGCCTCCATTCTTCCCACTCTTCCACAAGGCTCATTGCGCTCCACACAGTGTTTGGCTGTGAGTCTCAGCATCTGTTTTGATGTGCTGTTGGGTGGAGCCTCTCAGGGGTCACCTATGCTAGGTTCCTGTCTGCAAGCGTAGAAGAATGTTGTTAATAGTGTTGGCTCTCTACCATGGATGGTCTTCAGATTAGGCCAGGCATTGGCTGGACATTCCCTCTATCTCTGCTCTATCTTTATCCAAGCACATCTTGTAGGCAGGGTAAGTTCTGGATCAAAGATTTTGTGGGTGAGTTGCTGCTCCCTATTAGGAGTCCTGTCTGCTTAGAGGCTCTCTTCTTCAGACTCCATGTCCCTCACTAGTAAAAGTCTTTTTCCTGAAACTTTGACCTAGTTTTGATATATATATATATATATATATATATATATATATATATA